GGGGCCCTCAAAAACAATTCTGTGTCTGTCCCTCAGAAAACAATTCTGTGGCCCTAAGAACGGTTTTTGGGGCCCTCAGTAACGGTTCTGGGGCCCCTCAGTAAAAATTCTGTGTCTGTCCCTGGTAAAAATTTTCTGTGGCCCTAATAACGGTTCTGTGACCCCAGTAAAAAATTCTGTGTCCCTGAGTAACAATTCTGTGGCCTAAGTAAACTTCTGTGGCCTAAGTAACCATTGTGTTCCTCAGTTACAATTCTGTGTCTGGCCCTGAGTAACAATTCTGTGGCCCTAACTAACGTTTCTGTGGCCCTAAGTAACAGTTGTGTGGCCCCTCAGTAACAATTCTGTGTCCCTGAGTAAACGTTTCGTGGCCCTAAGTAACGGTTCTTTGGCTCTCAGTAAACATATTCTGTTGTCTGTCCCTGAGTAACAAAATCTGTGGCCCTAACTAACGCTTTCTGTGGCCCTATGTAACAGTTCTGTGGCCCCTCTGTAAACAATTTCTGTGGCCCTGAGTTATGTTTCTGTGGTGGCGGCCCTATGTAACAATTCTGTGGCCTCGTAACAATTCTGTCTGTCCCTGAGAAAACTAACAATTCTGTGGCCCTAACTAGCGTTTCTGTGGCCCTAAGTAACGATTCTGTGGCCCTCAATAACAATTCAGTGTCCCTGAGTAAAGTTTTTCTCTGTTCCCTAAGTACACGTTTCTCTGGTCCCTAAAGTAAACGTGTCTCTGTCCCTAAGTAACGTTTCTGTGGCCCAAACTCTGTCCCTAATTACAGAGCGGTCTCCTCTGTTGAATGACTGGAGGAGGCAGATGAAAGAATTCCTAACATGGCCGCCAGTTAATAGCTCGAACCAATTACACTGTGCTGCGCTAGGTGGCTGCTGCTGACTGATGGCTAATGCGATCTACTGTCATTTCAGGAATGCATTATGGGTCAGCGCGCCTTGTCTGCGCGCCTTCCCAGACATCCCCCGCTCCGTCGCTGCACATGTCCGCCGCCATTTTTAGGAAAAATTTCGATTCGCGCGTCCGAAGTAGGCTATTTTTCGGATTCGAAAATTTTTTCCAATATTCGAAAACAAATTCCACTTCGCCTACTTCGATTCGCTCAATCTCTAATGATTTCCTATGGGGCATGTTCACATTCTCCGCGTTTTAATGTTTTTTGGAAACGGGTCAGGGACTTTTTTTAACACAAAAAGTAGCATTTTTGGTTCTATAGACTTCAATGGAAATGCTGCAGAAAAGCATGTAGTGCATTTTTGACGCATTTTGCATTTTTAAATCTGCCTAGCAACAAGAAAAATAAAGAAAATTAAAAAAAAAAATGGGTCAAACGCAACCTGCATAGGTGTAAACTTAACCTTAAAAAGTAGGTGCTGATTCACACATGTGCGGTGCGGATTGAAGCTCAGGTTGGCTGCTTTTCATGCTTTTAAGCCCCCGGTCACATTGGGTGCGACTTGGCATGCAATTTAGCCCTTCGACTTGCAAATCATATGCCAAGTGGCACTGTATTGTCCCCTATTAGAGCAGTTCATATTGGTGTGGTTCCAACTTTGTAGGAGCCGCATCAATTTCTAAAGTAGTGTATGCACTACTTTTGGTGTGACTTGCATAGACATCTGTGTCAGATGTCTTGCAAATCACAATGAAATTGGCAGGTCACCTGATTTTAAAATCGTTCGACTTCACTGTAAGTCACACGATTTCAAAATCGGTTTTGATGTGACCGGGGGATTAAACAGTAAGTGCTGATTCACACGTATGTGGTGCTGATTGAAGCTCAGGTTTCACAGCTATTTGACGCAGTAGCTGTTCTCCAGTTCAGGTCAGGTTTACATCAGGTTCAGGACAGGATCAGCTCAGGATTTTATCTTGTTCACACATATGCGGTTTAGAAACGGTTCCCATAGAAGTCAATAGCCTGTAATCCGCACCTTAACCAGACTGCACTGCTCAGAAATCGGACATGACTTTTTAAACCACACTGAATCCACACCGCCAGTGCACCAGACAAATGTGAACAGGCACCATAGGAAGCAATGTTATTTCACATCGCATCCAATCCGCATTTATGTAAATGGGTACTAAAAGTTTTAAAATGACTTTAAAGTGACATAGACTTTACAGAGTGACCTGACAGTGACCATACCCTAACAAATCTCCTGAGCACTGCAGAGCACATGCAAAGTTTCCTCCGCCAACCTAGGTTCTGTGAATGGAGGGGATGAGAGATAAGCAGAACTTACTGTATGTTGAATAGAAATGTTTTCCTATCCTATTCATCACTAAGTCAGTCAAGAACAACTGAGCTGATCCATCATCACGTATCAATAAACTGGTTTAGTGTCTTTATCATAAAATCTAACAAGTTAGATGCTGTGTGATTTGGTAATATGCAGGGGCGGAATGACAACTAATGGGACCCCCGGGCAATAGGGGATCATGGGGCCCCTGTGTCCTTGCCCAAACTCAAAAAAGCCTATGAAAAAGGTACCAGGGGCATCTCATGGGGCCCCCTACTGACCCCGGGCCCTCGGGCAGTGCCCAAATTTCCAAATGGTCAGTCCGCCCCTGGTAATATGCATGTCTTCTTATACTTGATGCTTGTCTGACTATACGTCTTTTTAATATGCTCTTATTGGTTTTGCAGTGGTACGTAAAAGGGCACGTCAAGAACAAGGTTTACATAACTTATTTATAAATGATATAGATTAAGGCTGGCCATACACAATACAATTTTCTTACAATTTTCTGTCCAATTTCTGCCCAATTTCCTTTAGATTTACCTTCAACTGTGTAGTGCAAGGGCCTGTCTAATTGGATACAACTGAAAGTGTTGTTTGGGTTTGCCCTCCTATTATATGGTTTTTGGTAAATCTAAAGAAAAAATCTCAAGAAATTTGGATAATGTATGGCCAGCCTAATACAGGCCATAGACGGGTCGAAAATCGGCAGATTTTTCGTCCGAAAAAAATAATCGGCCTATTTTCGCACCATTAATGGGTTAATTGGTTGGCCGTTTTTCGGGGTTTTGGCACATTTTTTTATCGGTGAAGTTGGAAAAAAATCAGCCGATTTTGCCGATCGGACGATTTTCCCGGCAATGATGGGCAAATCAGCCAATCGTTTTACCAATAAAAAATCTGCGTATGAGCCGTGGCCTGCAAGAAGAAAAAAAAGAAGAAGAAAAAGAAGAAGAAAAAGAAGTCAAAGAAGAGGAAAAAGAAGAAGAAAAAGAAGAAGAAGAAAAGAAGAAGAAGAAGAAGAAAAAAGAAGACAAAGAAGAAGAAAAAGAAGAAGAAGAGTAGGAAGAAAAAAGAAGAAAAAGAAGAAAAGAAGAAGAATTTCCAGTCCGCTATTATAGGACAAGGTGTGTGCAAGAGAGTATCCCTGAACAACGCTGCAGGGTAATCCCAAGTGTAGCTCAGGGTTACCGCTTCTGGTACTGAAAGTTAATCCTGAGCTACACTCGGGAATTCCACCAGGGGGTTAAACTGAAGTTTCTTACAATCTATAACTTACCTACCAGAGCATATTGGGTTTGGTGATGAAGGAGTAAACCCTGGCAACCATGGAAAGAACAGGCAAAAATATTGGTTGGTTTACTAACAGCAAATAGGCTGTTCCCTTCTCAAGGGAATTTGCACTTTGCAAAGGATTTTTTTCCTTTAGCTTAGTGAATACGGTGAAAATTCACTTTGCATTAAATACACAATCACATGCAAGGAAAAAGAGAAGGAATGTTGCTTGCACATGATTGAATGGTGAAGGTCAGCAGAGCTTTATCTCATTCACTAAGCAAATTCCCTTGCAGCCTATTTACCGTTAAGCTGGACATAGATGGAGCAATTTTCTTTTCTATAACCACGGGTTGTAGGACAGGAAATCTCTTGATTCTCCGATTAATAGATCCTGCAGAGCTATTGTGTTATCCCGAAGCGGGGGGGGGGGGGGAGCCGTCTCCAACTGGAGAACACAGTAATTACTGCTAGTAGCTATAATAGCCGCTAGCAATAATCGCATGTGAAATCCAGCAGGCTGGTTGTACCCAACTGATCGATCGATCAACTGGGGTACATTCAGGGGCGGACTGACCATTTGGAAACTTGGGCACTGCCCGAGGGCCCGGGGTCAGTAGGGGGCCGCATGAGATGCCCCTGCTACCTTTTTCATAGGCTTTTTTGAGTTTGAGCAAGGACACAGGGGCCCCATGATCCCCTATTGCCCCCGGGGTCAGTAGGGGGCCCCATGAGGTGCCCCTGGTACCTTTTTCATAGGCTTTTTTTGAGTTTGGGCAAGGACACAGGGGCCCCATGATCCCCTATTGCCCCCGGGGTCAGTAGGGGGGCCCATGAGATGCCTTTGGTACCTTTTTCATAGGCTTTTTTGAGTTTGGGCAAGGACACAGGGGCCCCATGATCCCCTATTGCCCCCGGGGTCAGTAGGGGGCCCCATGAGATGCCTTTGGTACCTTTTTCATAGGCTTTTTTGAGTTTGGGCAAGGACACAGGGGCCCCATGATCCCCTATTGCCCGGGGGTCCCAGGAGTTGTCAGTCCACCCCTGGGTACATTCAGTCTGCCATAAATGGTTCAAATCTTGGCCAGCCCCTGCTGAACTGGCTGAGATTTGAACAGTCTAAGACCGGCTTTACTAAATCAACCCCAACATATATAGTGGAAACTCACCACTCAAAACCACAGTTCTAAGCACTAGATGCTATGGGCAAAAAAAAAAAAAAAGCTCTCTCCTGTCTTTTAGGTCTCACATTCATTGTGCACATACAGTATGTATATAGCATCACATACAGTAATAAAGTCAATTGTGATTTGCCCTGTGATAAGTTAAAATTTGTCACCATTTATTCACCGTGTGTTGGCAGACACTTAGAAAAGATTTTCTAATAACCCCAAACCTTGCAGTGCTATGTAAGATTATAATAGGATGTGGTCATACACAATTTGTGAAGCATTGACGGGTATGCTTGAGAAATGAAATTAAATGAATTGTTCACACAATATGTTAAGCAAACTGAGAAGTATGCTTTCTGCATGTAAAGTACCAGCTGGCCCATCAGAAGATTGTTTGGAATTTAAAGCAGACACAGCTTCGAATACAAGGTGTAAAGACAGGGCAGGCTGCCGCAAGCAAAATGAATGACACGCAGAAAAGCTTTATTAAGCGGTAGCATGTTAGGCAAGGCGATGTCCTGAGTGAGCAATTAAGTAGAGGTGTTAGGAGAACAGAGAAATCTCTTGGTTAATCCTTCGTATTGTCGTTAATAAAGTGAAATGCTGTCTCTGCACCTTCTGGTCGAACATTAAGCTGGCTGCGTCAAGCAAGGCTTTCAATCAATTAGTTTGCATTATTCACAGTACATCATTAAATAATAAATAACAGCTTAGTTTGCTTGAAAGATCCCTAAAGAATATTGGGCTACATTTAAGCAAGGGTCTGAGGAAAGAATTGGCTCAGACATACAGCACTGGCCCAAGCAGCCAATCAAATGGTCATTTAGCCTTCAAAAAAAATCTAATTTCTGTAGGCAACAAAAAAAAATGACTGAATTAATTTCCGCCTCAGATAAAAAGAGTCCCATCATAATTGTACATGGTCTAATTCTGCTAATTCTGGAATCCTCTACTCTTCCAACCACTCCATCCCCCATAGTGACTACCTACTGTACCATTCACCAGGGGCGGACTGACAACTCATTGGGCCCCCGGGCAATAGGGGATCATGGGACCCCTGTGTCCTTGCCCAAACTCAAAAAAGCCTAGGAAAAAGGTACCAGGGGCATCTCATGGGGCCCCCTACTGACCCCAGGCCCTCGGGCACTGCCCGAGTTTCCAAATAGTCAGTCCGCCCCTGCCATTCACCCCTCCCTCCTAGATTGTAAGCTCCAAGGAGCAGGGCCCTCAAATCCTTTGTATTGAACTGTATTGTTACTGTATTGTCTCCCACTATAATGTAAAGCGCTGAGCAAACCGTTGGCGCTAAATAAATCCTGTATAATAATAATAATAAAGTTCTCTTATACTTTATAAATCTAGGAGATGCGCTAAACCTCCGAAATCACCATTGTACATTGTTTCCAGGTTCTATGTGCTTTTGTATTGGCGAACATCAATGTTTGTTCTACTTTTTTCTGATTTTTGTAACAATTTTAAACTTGAAATAAACAAAAATTATACATAATTTTACATGGTCACTGTATACCTACGTAATGTCAAATATAAAGCATAAGGCAACCCCATAGGTATTCACGTTCCATTCCAAAAAATGCTGAAGCATATGTTTGTATGGTAAATACATGTGAATGTCGCCAAATGTGAGTGTGTTCCTGAAGTGACCCTAAAACCTCCCTAACTGATGATTTTTATTATTATACAGGATTTATATAGCGCCAACAGTTTGCTTACCGCTTCACAAAATGAAGGTAGACATTAGTTACAATACAATTTGGTGCAAGAGGAAATAGAGGGCCCTGCTCATTAGTGCTTACAATCTAGGAGGAAGGGTTGAGTGATACAAAAGGTAATAGCTGTGGGGGGGGATGAGCTGATGGAGGAAATAAATGGGGTTTACTAGTTAGAAGCAGGATAGACTTCTTTAAAGAGAAAGGTTTTCAGGGATCTTCTAAAGGTGGATTGATAAGGAGACAGTCGGACAGAATGGGGTAGAGAATTCCATAGGATTGGAGAAGCTCAGGAGAAGTCCTGGAGGCGAGCATGGGAGGAGGTGACACGGGAACTAGAGAGCAGAAGGTCTTGGGAGGATCGAAGAGAGCGGTTTCGGTTGATATTTTGAGACCAGGTTGGTGATGAAGCTGGGGGCAGAGTTGTGGATGGCTTTGTAAGTTGTTGTTAGTATTTTGAATTTTATTTGTTGAGTGAGTGGAAGCCAGTGGAGGGATTGGCAGAGAGGGGTAGCAGATGTTGTCTTTCACAGTAATGGCCCAATACATTGACCACTGGGTCAAAAGGGGGCAGGGGAAGGCATGCAACGTATCTTACTATGCAAGTCTCCTTTCACCCTCGGCACTAGTTTGAACTGAAGGAACTAATGTGCAAACATCTGAAGGTGCCAGGTATGTAATGATGGCTTTGGATTAAAGTAATACTAAACCCAGGACCCTGCATTCAATATATCCAATTTGACACAGTACACACAACATGGAAATGCAATTATTTAAGTAAATATAAACTGCTAAATACCTTTTTTCATCAGCAGTATATAGCAGTCTTGTGACATCTATCAGTGTCAGACAGAGCATGGGTAAAGCTTGTAGGAATGAAAACATTCTCCCCTGATTGTCCTATGAGGCTGCATAACCCCTGACTCTTTGTCTGGACAATGCTGATTAGCCCTGTGCTGATCACATGCACTCTACTAAGGAAAAAAAATATCTAGCAATACACACCAAACTGAGCATGTGCAGCTTGCCCCCAAGGCTCTGTTCTATCAGTAGATGGATTGAGGACAGTAGAAGAAAGGGAGGATCAGAGAAGTCAGGCTCAAACATCCTTTTTATACAAATGGAGGATTAACCCTTTAGATTCCACAGTGAGTATAACAAGCATGCTTTACGTCGTATACAGAATGATTTTACTGTTGTGGGTTTAGAAATACTTTAAGTAATAACAATATAAAATGCAGTATTTTAGGAGAACTTTAATAAATGTAGTGTATAGTGACCCAATAAAATGATGAGACATCACCAGCATTCTGTTTCAAACATACAGTATCTCACAGAAGTGAGTACACCCCTCACTTTTTTGTAAATATTTTTATTATATCTTTTCATGTGACAACACTGAAGAAATGATACTTTGCTACAATGTGACGTAGTGAGTGTACAGCTTGTATAACATGTAAATTTGCTGTTCCCTCAAAATAACTCAACACGCAGCCATTAATGTCTAAACCGCTGGCAACAAACGTGAGTCCACCCCTAAGTGAAAAATGTCCAAATTGGGCCCCACGTGTCAATATTTTGTGTGGCCACCATTATTTTTCAGCACTGCCCTCTTGGGCATGGAGTTCACTAGAGCGTCACGGGTTTCCACTGAAGTCCTCTTCCACTCCTCCATAACGACATCACGGAGCTGGTGGATGTTAGAGACCTTACGCTCCTCCACCTTCCGTTTGAAGATGCCCCACAGATATTTTTTTTATATGGAATATTTCTTTGTACTTTATACTTATATTTTTTATAGTTTTTAGAGCATATATCTTTAGGTGTCTAATCATTTTAATGTGATTCGCATGGCCCCATTTGCTACAGTCACTATGAGCACCCATCTACTTCCGAGGTCAAATACTGAAAGGTGTGCAGTCCTCATCCTTTGATTTATGTGTATAGTAACCCAGCTTTCCACTTGCCACATACATTGAACAATTATAACATTATGACCACCCATCACAACATTATACCCACCTAATATTGAGCAGGTCCCCCTTTTACTGCCAAAACAGTCCTAACACAAAAGGTATGGACTCCAATAGAGAAAGCATCACGCTGTCTCTGCTGGCTTGCCTTCTTCCCATAGTGCATCCTGGTTCCATCTCTTCCCCAAGTACCACACGCACCTGGCCATCCATATGATATAAAAGAAAACACAAATTCACCAGACCAGGCCACATTCTTCCATTGCTCTGTGGTCCAGTTCTGGTGCTCCTGTGCCCATTGTAGGTGCTTTTGGCTGTGGACACGGGTCTGCATGGGCACCCCGACCAGTCTGCAGCTAGGCAGCCCCATACACAAAAAACTACACTGTTTGTTCTGACACTTAGCTATTAGAACCCGTATTAACATTTTCAGCAATTTGAGTTACAGTAGCTCTTCTTTTGGATCAGACTACATGGGTCAGCCTTCACTGGCTGCTCATTAACCTGTTGCCAACTCACCAGTTTTCTTTTCTTGGACCACTTCTGACCACTGCAGAGAAGGAACATCCCACATGAACTGCAGTTTTGGAATTGCTCTGACTCAGTCGTCTAGCAATTACAATTTGGAACTAGTCAAAGTCAATCAGATCCTCACGCATGTCAATTTTTTCTGCTTTCAACACATCAACTTTAAAGACAACATGTTCACTTGTTGCCTAATATATCTCACCCACTTTCAGATGCCATTGTATTAAATGATATTAACTACTATGGTCATCGTGTTATGGCTGATATGTGCATTCTAAAAAGGGAATTGTAAAGGATGAGGTACAAGGTTTCCATTTACAGAGGCAGTCATAGCATGCAGAACAAAATTACAGTAGTGATCCTGTCATTGGTGAATTGCTAAACAGAATACTCTATGCTCTCTTAGCAATTTTATTACTGGTAAATTTGTGACAGTGACAGGAACGCTAGTATCACATGGGCC